TGGCTAAGGCAGGGCAGGGCAGGGCAGGGCAGGTGGGGGGGGGGCGGGGCGGGGGGGGGGAACCTCTCTGAGAAACTGTTTGCTGCGGCAAGTCACCTGTGGCTCCAATGGTTTCACTCTCTGGCAGATGGGTCCTATTCTGGCTTGCTTCCGGATTCTGGCTTTTAGGGTGTAGCAGTTCAGGCTCCGGCAAACTCGGGGATGGTGGGGGCTCAGATTCCAGCCACTAGGGCTATGGGAGGGCGGAGGCAGGAGGAGTGACACCAGACACCGTTAAAGCAATTAAAGTCACAGCTCCTTGTGAGTTCCAGTCAGGCCTGGGACGCCCAAGGGCTCCTTTAAGAGGCGGAGTCACGGTCTGGAGAGAAGGGAAATAGATGGCAGGGCCCTCCCCTAGTAGTCCGGTCGGGGCAACACCCACAAAGGGCGCTGTCCCACCAGCCTTAGCTCAGCAGGGCTGGCCCACCGCCCCCCCTGAGGCTGCCTCCTAAAACTGGGGGACCCCTGTCCTCAGCCCTTGAATAGCTTCTGAAGCTACTGCCTCCCGCACACTTCCCCCTCCCAGTCAGTCAGAAGTCCCATGTGCTGCTGACTTCACTGAGGCTGGCTTCACTGCACTAAGCAAAAAGCCTCCTCTAGCAACCCTTTCTAACCCTGAGAGCTCCTTAGAAGATGTTAAAGTCCTTGCTTCTCCCCACAGCTAATCCTGAAGATGCAGCGTTGCTCCCCCACTTTCCCCAGTCCACTAGGCTGGCATATTCTGACAGACAAAAGGCTCAGACCCAAAAAGAGATGTGGATCAGTGAACACAACACTGTAGAGCAGTGTTAAGCAAGGTTCCAACTACAGCGCTGAAAAACTGTGGTCCCAGCACTCCAGAGGCTGAAGCAGGATCACCATGAGTTTGAGGTCAGCCTGGGCTACACCGTGAGTTCAGGGCCAGCCTGAACTACAAAGTGAGACCCTGTCTCAAAACAAGATGTGTCTTCTCCCCCCTTCTACTGCTCCTAGAATGGCTTGTGTGCTTGACTGGTGTGGACCTGGTATCTCTTTTGTGAAGCAGCTGCTGAGAAGAGTGGGGGCTCACTACGGCCTAACAAAAAGCCCAATGTTAAGAAGCCAAGACTGAGAACAACAGTCAGGCTAGGAGTGATGGCACATATCAGTAATCCCAGCACTCAGGAGTCAGAGGCAGAAAAATCACTGCGAGTTTGAGCCCAGCCTAGGCTACAAAGTGAGCTCAAGGCCAGCTTGAACTGCATAGCAAGACCCTGTCTCAAAGAGGAGAGGGGGAGAGAGAGAGAGAGGGAAGGGAGGGAGGGATGGGGGGAGAGAAAGAGAGAGAAAATGTACGCATGCATGCATGCACGCACGCACCCATGAGCCAGCCAGCCTTATTAATTTGTAGGTGGTGGAGCAGGATGGTACTATGGTGCAGTTTAAGGTAAGAGGCACACATGCCACTTAGTAAACTAATGAAAGCCTATTGTGAATGACAGGGTTTGTCAAAGAGGTAGATCAGATTTTAGTTTGATGGACAGTCAATCAATGAAACAGACACACCTGCACAATTGGAAATGGAGGCCCAAGATGTAACATATGTTCCAAGAGCAGACAAGAGGTGTCTACTAAAGAGGGACCTGCAACAACTCTACTCCAGAACTCTGCTTTTACAGACCAAGAACACATTCTCAACTAGAACACTATAGTTCAGTTCCACCACATTCTGTCTATGACAGTATAGTTTTCTCTATAATTTCATTTACTCATTCTCCATTCCTTTACTGTACATCTGGTGTACTGAATTTTTTTTCCTGAATAGCCAATAATATGTTTTGATTGACATCAAATAGAGATGGGATGAGGAAATACTGGTTCTGTGAAAATCATCCCTTCTCCGTTAGTGGCATGTTCATCAGCCCTTTTTTTTTTACATTTCTGAAAGTTACTTTGCTCTTGCTATTCTAAGAGAAAAGACAATATAAAAATCCTTGCATATTTTGTTTGACTGGAGAATTTTAACTTTTATCATTGTAAAAACCAAGGATAATTTCATAATTTTTTTGTAAGTAGCTATTACACATACAGTAATCTGTCTTTAGGAGTAAATTACTCTTTAAAAAAAAAAAAGAATCCTAGTTTTCTCTTTAAGTCAAGTATCTTGTTTGGTTCTTTTTCTTCAATCAGATTTTATTGGTACATTTTAGATATATGCAATAATCATACTCATCAAAGTGTCTCGTCATTTAAATAAACGTCTTGTTTAAAGTGAAAATAAAAGAGCAAGAGAGCATCTACCAGTCAGTAAGGGCTTACCTCTGCTGGAATGAAAATCCTGTTGGATGTCTTCCTACCTCCCTGGATTAGAGGGCGCTAGTCTGCAGAGTCAGAACCCATAGGGTTCAGCAGCTGTCTGACAAGCGCAAGGCCCTGTGTTTGATTCCCAGGACCAAGGCAAAACATACCCAGTGGGCGCCAGGCAAATGCCCAGTAAGCAACTCACAGATGGATTGAACCAACTTAACATTTTCTAGAGGAAGGGAAAGAGAAAGTCTACATATATCACTGTTCAAGCAAAGACACCTCATTCATGTCTATGTAGCCACCTTAGCAATGGTCTGATGGCCTCAGAAGTCTTTTCTCTCTGAGCTACTAAACTATAATACATGTCTAGCTCCTTGTGATCAATAAGTATTTCCTTCCTAAAACAACCAATATTTGGAACATGAGAGTTCCTATAAGGCTTTGTGAAGAGACAGGACAAGTGGCCAAGGTAGGCAGGAAGAGGACCCCAGTGATAAGGGTTAGCCCCACACACCTGTCCTTCTCACATGGGTCCAATGCAAACAAGTGCTATATGCTAAGCTACACAGGGGATACAGCAGCAGAGAGAACATACATTAGACCTCTCTCAGGCACTTCCAGGATATTCTACACCAATAGTATACCTGTGGGAATGAAGAGGCAGAGTGAGCCTATTACAGTTCCAGCCCTAAGGGGCCTCAGGTTTTGGTACAGGGCTGACAAATATCTTACATATAAGCTGCCTACCATGTTCTTTGGCCTGTACCCACAGCAGACATCACTAATCACCCCCAGCCTTTTTTGAGTGAGACTTCAGACCCCTTCTCACCTCAGAGCTCTTGGAAAACACCACATGAGAGGATAAAAAGGAATTAAACACAGAAAGATGTTGACACAGAATCCTAGCACTGCCAGATTCCAGATCTGGGAAGATCCATCCCAGGAAACCACTCTGATTCCCCAAAGCCTCCAACAGTTGCAAACTATGCCTCTCAGGTTCCCCCGAATACAGTCTGGAACCCAGCTCAAATCATACAGGGAAAGGAGGTATGCAGATGAAAAGCCCTGGTTCTATACATGCTCTGTCTTCCATTTGCTGAAGAATCTAAAGCTCCAATATTCTGCCTGGCAGAGTGGCCACCAGGGTCCCCCTTCAGTCATTCTCAGTCTCTGGTGTCTAGAAAACCCATAAAACAGCCCACCATTGTTTGCCCTGAGATCAGCCCTCACTAGACATCTTTTCAGTAGGGAAATGCCTTTTAGATTTCAAACAATATTTAATAAATGGATTTCTAGAGGGGGAAACACAGATACTCTGGCAAAATGTGTTTTCCAACCTTGAAAGAAGTCTCCCACCCATATGGATTCCCCTAGGTAGGACTGCCACCTAGTGGCAGATCCCAAGGCCACTTTGGCCACCAGCATGTAAAAACTGAGGCCAGGATCTGTCATCCACAGGTGCTAAGTTCCTGCAGGGAAAATTTCAAGCACTTGCTACCCTGAATGGATGCCCTGCATTATAGGTTGGAAACAGCCAAGGAACAGTGATAGCAGGTGTCCTCAGATAATGCTCATATACTGCGGGTCAGCTGAAGCCCTCTGAGGAGTACTAGTGAGGGTGGGATCTCAGGCTATCACAAGGAGCCATAGGCAAGTCATCCTAGAAGTCCAGGCAGGGAGCTCAGATGAGCATGACACACCCTTGGGAGATTTCTAAGTCTCCCAGCCCTGCCCAGTCTCCTCTCCTGCTTAGGAATGCTTCTTGGCAGCCCCACTAGAATACAAAACCCTGATCCATGAACAGCCCTCCAATCAGCTCCTTAAGAGTCCTACCCAGGTACCATGGAGAGTACAGGATAAAGAAAAACCAATGTCGTATGTGGAGCAAGACTAACAGAAAGCTTCCTATAACACCAAGGTACCTCTGAGTCACCACACTGGATTGCTTCTAGCCCAGCAGTTTGGCCTTGTTTTTCAGTTTGTTTCCTGCCTTGTGTTTAAGTTTCACATCTTCAGCTCTTTCACAAAGAACTGCTCAAAGTTATGGGCAGAAGTACCCATATAGCAGTATAGGCACAGAGCTGTACCAGGGCTGAGGGAGGCAGTGATAAAACGACTGGAGAAGGTGTCAGGAACCTGGGGGCCTGGCAATGCTATGGCACAATCTGAGGTCTCTGAGCCACAGTTCCTCACAGACGCCGAGGGGTCGGTCATCTAGAGACTCTCTGAGCTTTCCTCCTATCCTAAATTAAGCATATTATTCTCTTGAGGGCAGAGCTGTCCCTGGTGGCCAGTTGTAGCACTGTAAGAAAACTGCTCCAGGAATTCAGCTGCTTCCCTGCCAGTCTATTTACTCACTTATATTTTCTCAACACCTACCAGACATAAAACAAAATACAGTGCTAAATCTTTACCTCCTACCTGTAAGGGAGCAGGCATTTACACATATATCATCCTCACTGAATGAGTATAGGAGGCAGTATCACTGTTTACAGACGAGAATAATAAAATACAGTATTTATAGCAAGTTTTAACATATGCAGAACATATCCAATACTGTCCATCATCACAGAGTCCTGTGGCATCCAGGACTATTCCAGGTGGTCCAGGTGGCAACAGCAGAAAGGACAAGGTGCTTCATAGGGTCTTGTATCACTGTGTGGGAGAATGGATAGGCTGATCTATCTTTATCACTTTTTATGAATTGAAATACTAAACAGTTTTTAAAAATTCTAAGCTGCAGCTAGAAATAAGAAAGCAGGTCTAATGCAAGAGTGATTGTTCTTGGCCAGCCCAGCTGCTCCTGACTAAGGCCTGTCTTTTGAATGGGTGCTCCCCTAGCACCCCAGACCTCACTCACCACAGGACCCCACCAACAGGCCAAAATTAAATAACTCAGTCTCTTGAGATGGAGCACTAAGATGGCAG